TAAAACATTCTGTGTTGGGCTTCCCTGGTGGCGCAGTGGTTGAGAGTCTGCCTGCCAATGCAGGGGACACGGGTTCGTGCCCTGTTCCCGGAAGATCCCACATGCCGTGGAGCGGTTGGGCCCGTGAGCCATGGCTGCTGAGCCTACGCGTCCGGAGCCTGTGCTCCGCAACGGGAGAGGCCACAACAGTGAGAGGCCCGCGTACCACAAAAAAAAAAAAAAAAAAATTTCTGTGTTCTGGTTTTACCCAGCCTTTCTGGCCTTGGTTTTTTCAAGTTACTTGCTTTTCCCCTAGACATGCAGGCAACAGGGAGACTTAAGGCAAATGGGCCCAGATTGGGGTAGAGATTCAAGGAGCGGGAAATCAAAGGGCATGTCTAGAATCTACCTGTTCTTCAGGACCCAACTCACCAATACCATCTCTTAAATAAAACTCCTTGGAGCCTGGAAGTTTGAGGTCAGGGCCAGCATAGTTGGTTTCTGGTGAGGCCTCTCTTTGTGGCTTGTAGGCAGTCACAATCTTGCTGTGTGCCATAACCTCTTCTTTGTGCAGGAAGGTGAGGAGGCTCTCTGGTGTCTCTTCTTATAAGTATACTAATCCCATCATGAGGGCCCCACCCCCATGACCTCAATTACCTAATTACCTCCCAAAGACTTCAACTCCATCGCCAAATATGGTAACATTGGGGGTTAAGGCTTTAACATATGAATTTTTGGGGACATGCATTCGGTCTATAACATGTGCATTCTATAATCATTCTGCACAAGTCATTTCTTTCAGGTCTTTTTTAAAATATTATCTTCCCTGTGAGGCCATCCCTGATTCATTTAAAACAGTCCCTCCTCTTGCATCATATCCCCCTTCCTTGCTTTTTCTCCTTAGCACTTAGTCACTTGACGTTTTACTTATTTGTAAATTCTCTCTCCCTCACTACTGAAAAGTAAGATCCATGAGGATAAGGATTTTTGTCTTTTGTTCCCTGCTGTATCCTTAGTGCCTAGGACAGTATCTGGTACACAGTAGAGTCTCAAATTTTATTGAATCAGTGAATGTGAAAGCGGAAGCTTCAGATTATAAAAGATGAAAAATTGTCTTCTTGGTAGTTTTTTTTTTTTTCTGTTGTTTTGTTTTGAATAGTAACTTTAAAACTTGTTACTGTTACTATATACTCAGACTGTTACTGAGTATAGCAGTCTGGGTATCTAATATAGATCCTTTCCAAATTACAGATATTCCTTTACCCTCCCTTTTTAAAAATATTTATTTATTTATTTTTGGCTGCATTGGGTCTTTGTTGCTGAACGCGGGCTTTCTCTAGTTGTGGTGTGCGGGCTTCTCATTGTGGTGGCTTCTCCTGTTGCAGAGCACGGGCTCTAGGCGCCCGGGCTTCTGGAGTGTGGCTCGCGGGCTCTGGAGCGCAGGCTCAGTAGTCGTGGCACACGGGCTTCGTTGCTCCGTGGCATGTGAGATCTTCCTGGACCAGGGCTCAAACCCGTGTCCCCTGCTTTGGCAGGCAGGCAGATTCTTAACCACTGTACAACCAGGGAAGCCCCTTTATCCCCTCTTTTTTTTTTTTTTTTTTGCGGTACGCGGGCCTCTCACTGTTGTGGCCTCTCCCGTTGCGGAGCACAGGCCCTGGATGCACAGGCCCAGTGGCCATGGCTCACGGGCCCAGCCACTCCACAGCATGCGGGATCCTCCCGGACCGGGGCACGAACCCACGTCCCCTGCATCGGCAGGCGGACTCTCAACCACTGTGCCACCAGGGAACCCCCCCCTTTTTATGATAAAACATGCATAGGGTAAAATTCAAATGCAACAGAAGGGTATCCTTTGAGAATCCTTTCTGCCTATATTTAGCCTTTAAAAAAAGTGCAGTCATCTATACTATTGTTTTGACTTTTTCTTGCTTAATATATTTTGCCAGTCTTTTTAAACTACCATAATTAAAAATACTTCTTTTAAACTGTGGCATAATATGCCAGGGTGTGAATGTATATAACAAAATTTTTATTTCCTTTAATAACATAGTTATAAAAAATTGTAGTCCTTTGTTTTGATATGACTCAGTAAGTTATGTCTGTTTTGGATTACTTTTAAACGTCTTTGGTTTTGGAAAGGAAAGGTTTTCTGTACAGAATTGAATATTTTTATAGAACTCTTGAAATTTACCTTTTTCAAAGATTTGCTTTTCTCCTTTTTCCTTGCAGGAGCTGCTGCTCAAGAGGTTATCAAAGTAATCACCAAACAATTTGTAATTTTTAATAATACTTACATTTATAGTGGCATGTCACAAACTTCAGCAACTTTCCAGTTGTAGAATAAGTACCCTATAGTGTGTTAATGATTGAAACTGTAATTGCCTTCAGGTTGTGCTCCAGTCTGTAAAGTTCTGCTAAGGGAGAACTGTTAAGTTGTTTCCTTAATAAACATTTTTCTCACTTGTAATAATGTAGTCTTGTTCTTTGGGGAGCTGAGGTGGAGGGAGGAAGGAAACGGTTTTCTCAGAGAACAGAAGCTATCCATTTCTAACTGAGCTCATTATTTCTGGCTTGCTATTTCAAAGTTACTTAACATAGAAATGTCTTGTATGGACTTCCCTGGTGGTGCAGTGGACATGGGTTCGATCCCTGGTCCAGGAAGATCCCACATGCCGTGGAGCAACTAAGCCCGTGCGCCACAACTACTGAGCCTGCACTCTAGAGCTTGTGAGCGACAACTACTGAGCCTGTGTGCCACAACTACTGAAGCCCACGCGCCTAGAGCCTGTGCTCCGCAACAAGAGAAGCCACCGCAATGAGAAGCCCGCACAGCCCGCACACCGCAACGAAGAGTAGCCCCTGCTCACCACAACCAGAGAAAAGCCCACAGACAGCAATGAAGACCCAATGCAGCCAAAAATAAATTTTAAAATTTTAAAAAAAGGTCTTGTGTTACATTAGAAATAGCTTAAAATATTTTTTCTTATAATCTTAATGAATTTAAGGCACGTGCAGATTTTAGCTGTGGACATCTTAATACCGTCACTGTTTGTTAAAATACAATTTAAAAGGGGCTTCCCCCCAGGACATGGAAGCAACCAAAGTGTCTATCAACAGATGAATGGATAAAGAAGATGTGGCACATATATAAAATGGAATATTACTCAGCCATAAAAAGAAATGAAATTGTTGTTTGTAGTGAGGTGGATAGACCTAGAGACTGTCATACAGAGTAAAGTAAGTCAGAAAGAGAAACAAATACTGTATGCTAACACGTAAATACGGAACCTTAAAAAAAAAAAAAGGTTCTGAAGAACCTAGGGGCAGGACAGGAATAAAGATGCAGATGTAGAGAATGGACTTGAGGACACGGGGAGGGGGAAGGGTAAGCTGGGAGGAAGTGAGAGTGTCATAGACATATATACAATACCAAATTTAAAATAGATAGCTAGTGGGAAGCAGCTGCATAGCACAGGGAGATCAGCTGGTGCTTTGTGTGCACCTAAAGGGATAGGATAGGGAGGGTGGGAGGGAGATGCAAGAGGGAGGGGATATGGGGATATGTGTATACATATAGCTGATTCACTTTTACAGCAGCAACTAACAACAATGTAAAGCAATTATACTCCAATAAAGATGTTAAAAAAATAAAAGGGGCTTCCCTGGTGGCACAGTGGTTAAGAATCTACCTGCCAATGAAGGGGACACGGGTTCGAGCCCTGGTCCAGGAAGATCCCACATGCTGCAGAGCAACTAAGCCCGTGTGCCACAAGCTACTGAGCCTGTGCTCTAGAGCCCGCAAGCCACAACTACTAAGCCCATGTGCCACAACTTCTGAAGCCTATGCGCCTAGAACCCGCACTCTGCAACAAGAGAAGCCACTGCAGTGAGAAGCCCACGCACCGCAACGAAGAGTAGCCACAACTAGAGAGAGCCCGCACACGGCCAAAAATAAAAATAAATTTAAAAAAATTATTTTTAAATACAACTTTAAAAAGACAAATATTTCAGATGTATAGTTTTATCAGAAAACAAGAACAGGATACAAAGAGGAGGGAAGGTTGTAAAAGATTAATGATGGCAGTGCTTGGGGTTCAGACGGCCTCCTCCCCACGCCTGCGCACACCTGCCCGAGGCCACGACGCCGGCCTCAGCGACCCCAGAGCCCGTTCTCCTAACTCCTTCGGGCGAACGCCCCTCTGAGCAAAGAAAGCCCTTTACACAGGGAGCAGTGAGATTAGAGGATTTCCCCTTCATATTGCGACTTTCCACTACTTAAACAGGCGCACACTTGCTATCCGCTGCCCTTTGGAATGTGGGTGAGCAGTGGCCGGCGAGAGACTCGGCGTGGGAGCGGTGCGGCCGGAAGTCCCGCCCCACCGAAGTGCGCCGGGTATTCTCGGCGGGAAACCAGGTCGGGCGTCGTGCTAGGCGGGCGGCGAGGGAGAAAGGGCGAATCCCAGGGCGCTGCGGCTTAAGGGTAAAGGCCACGGCCTCCACTCCCTGCGCGTTTGGGTCCTGCCTCAGCCCCGCCTCGGAACCCGCCCGTCGCCTCCTGTGGAAGGTCTGGGATGCAGAACGCCCCGCTCTAACCTTCTTAACCGACCCACATGAGGGGATGGGGCGATGAGGCGGGATGAGGCCTTTCTGAGGAGGCGGTTGCCCCGGGCTGAGGCCCGCACAGGGAAAAAGAGAATTGTCACGTACCACTTAGGCGGCTAGAGCCTGGCCGATTGTACTTCAGAATTCTCGGGCGCCTCCCTAGGTGGCTCTGATGTATGAAGGGGGTGGGCGCTGCTGGGACAGTTGTTTCTCAGATCGGGGGGTGGGAACCTGTGTTCCGCATCACCTGAGGGGGAGGGCACGTTAACGGGGCGGACATTCAGACCCACCCGATGCCCTGCCGGTGAATCGCCCGTGGTGGAGCCAGCCTCGGGTCGCTAACGTGTGGCCACGTCCCTGCAGGAGTTGGAGAACCCTGGTCTAAGAGGGAAGGGCCCGAGGGACCACCTGTGCTCTTCAAAAGGACTTCCTCCAGCTCTTTAGGTGAGCCAGGTCGTGGTGTTAATGAGCGCAAATGGACGAAACAGGGTGGAGTTAGTCTTCTCTCCCGGGAAAGATGTCTGTCGGTTACCTGTGGAAACTGGGATGAGGTGATGAGGATGAATGCGGAACGGCTGCTCCAGTCTCCTGAGGCCGGGAGTGTTGATGTTGTAGTGAAATGGCTCCTGGTACCCTCAGCCTGTTTCTGGACCTGATCGACTGTTTTCTCTCAATCTAAACTATTGTAACAGAAAGTTTACGTTACATTACTTGCATCTTGGCCGTTTCTCCCTTGCCTCTCCTACTTTAGGGGAAAGTTTCCACTTGGTATGAGCCCAAGCTGGGGATCCACTGTCAACAACTTAGTGGTGGCAGATATGGTGGGATTTTCAGCCCTGCCAGCCTTATGCACAGAAAGATGTCATTTATCTTTCAGATATTTTGAGGGTGCTATTTAGATTTCAAAAAGCTTTTCATGTTAACATTTTCTAGGCCACGTAGAAGAGGAAATGTTCAGCTCATTTTCTTGCTTAAATTTGAATTTAACAGTAGTGTTTTGGGGAATTGATTGAGCGCAAACTGTAAGTAGGATAGTTTCTTCCTGTTACCTGGAAAAAAAATCCCTTTTTCCCCCTGTGAGAATACAGTAAATAATTCTGAAATCTTGTTCATGGCAGTCTGCATCTATTCACTAAGTTACTGAAAATACTTAATAATATGTTTTATTGAGCAGATGATTTTGTTCTTGGGATTATACTATATTTTATACTTTTAAATATAATTTTATAGTTATCCCTCCCTTAGAAGTCATAACTTGTCCTTTGCTGTGGATGTTTTTAAGCATGTAGCAGGTAAATAGATGACTTGTATTAATGCTACTAGATATTTGGCAAACTTTATCTTATTTTACTGTGCAAAGTAACCATTTATTAGAAAACAGTATAAGAAAGACAGACAAAGGGGAACAGAAGGTAGTTTGTGTTGTCAGCTTCAATTTAAAACATATCCCTCTTTAAATATGAAAATTATATTAAAAAGCAGAATAGATTGACTAATTAAAATTAAACTCCATCACAAAGCAAAAACCTCCATGTGTGATACGTCTTTTTTTTTTAACAGGCTGTTTTTTAATCTAGTCTTTTTCCAAATCCTAACCCATTTGCTCAAAGATAATGCAACCTTTAAAAAAGGATGTAAATTTTCCTGTAAATTTTCATTTATATATAGTATAAATGAAACAGACATATAGTATGTCTGTTTATAATATGTCTCCAAATTATATGTAGGAGGCAGTATAACAAGATAAGAGTGTAGCCCTTGCCTCAGATTTTCTTGGTTCCCATTCTAGCTCTGGCACTTACTAGCTGTTTGAACTTGAGCAAATTGTTTACTTTCTCCTCATCTATCTTTATCCTTATAGCTCCCTTGTAGGGTTAGTGTAAAGACTAAAAAGATAGTATTTATAAGGTTTATAGGGGTTTATAGAGCCTGGTCTATCATTGGGCTTGCTGAACATTAGAAGCTTCTATTATAAAACTTGTGAAAAATGAAAAACAGTGAAATAAAACACCACCAGCTAAAGACAACAAGTGTTAATATGTTGCTCTTTTCCATCTAGTTTTATTTTATGTTTGCCTCTACATAATTGGGGTCATACTGTAGATAAAATTTTGAGTCTTGCTCTTTCGATTACATTGTTTTTTTGTTTTTGTTTTTTTGTTTTTTTTTTTTTTGGTGGTACACAGGCCTCTCACTGTTGTGGCCTCTCCCGTTGCGGAGCACAGGCTCCGGACGCGCAGGCTCAGCGGCCATGGCTCACGGACCTACCCGCTTCGCGTAATGTGGGATCCTCCCGGACCGGGGCACGAACCCGCGTCCCCCGCATCAGCAGGCGGACTCCCAACCGCTGCGCCACCAGGGAAGCCCTTGATTACATTGTAACATAAGCATTTTTCCATACTGTCAAACATTTCAAGTAAATGTCAATATTCTTGTAACAATATCCTGTCCTGTGGATATACTATGATGTACTTACCCATTCCTTTTTAAATGGAATATTTAGGTTAAAAAAATGACAAAACTAGTAAATATTTGTATATTACTTTATAAAAGATTCTCATATTTATCATTAAATTTTTTGTTTGGGAATTTTCAGTTTGAGAGTTAAAATGAAAGAAAGGATAATTAACGATCTCTCTTTAACCACCCAGTGCTTTAGTAAATAAGAATTTTAGAGTTCTGTGAGTCCTGAATTATAGCTCTAAGAAATTAATTGGACTCTGATGTATTTTTCTAAAAAATCAGTTTAGCATTTTAAAGAATGTGAGAGGCCGTATTAGGGTTGCCAGTTATTTTTAAAATTCATCTAATGAATATAAACAGAGGTTTAAGCTTGAAAATAGCCATGAGTTGTTAGAAAAAATTTTAGTATTAAGCTAAGCTTGTGAAGAGAAATGCACATCTAAAGAGTGTGTGCATATTTGTGTTTTAAACCTCTGGTTCATGGAGGAGTGCCCAATCTGAAATCATGGGATAAAAATTTACAGAAAAGAAAATAAGGAAGGAGAACCAGAAGTGGAGCAACTAGATTCAGTCAACCAATCATTCCTGTGTTTGTTTAATAAAATGTGTTGAATGCCTGTAGTACTTGAGTGCGAGGTGCATTTATGTATGTTTTCAAATTTAATTCTTGTAACAACTCTATGAAGTTGGAAATTTATATTTTACAGATGAGGAAACTGAGCCTTAGAGAACTTAAGCATACCTAATACCACACACCTAATAAGTTTCAGATTCAATCTTTGCTCTTCTGGTTTGAGAAAACTATTGTTTTCCTACCCCTTTGCATATATAATTCTGGAATTCTCAAAATTGATTTAAATTGAGAAAATACCTTTATCTTATAGATGAAATATAAGGTAAAAGAATGCAGACAAGCATGGAAAGTGAGGACACAAAGAAAATACAAGGTGAGAAATTTATGGATCATATATCTGAAATTTGTTTTATAGTGTATTTGTGGGATATACTGCAGATTATCTGACAGGCTTCAGGAAATGAAAGAATTATTCAGCAATTTACATGAATATTTATTAAGCATATACTCTGTGCCTGTCACACTGACTTCAGGAAACTGACATTCTAATGGGAGATGGCATGTTGATAATTAGAATACCATATGATAGCTGATTTAATGGAGGTATATATAAGAACAGTGGAAACCTGAGAGGACCACCATCAAATTTCAGAGCTGTCCTCAGAAAAATGGAAATTTAATTCATGGGCATAAAGGAGGTTAACCAGAGAGGAAATATTAAAATAGAAAAGGATGGGGAATAGTATTCCCTAATGGACCCCATCACATCAGGGTTTGGCTGAGGAAGAGGACCCTCAAAAAAAGACCGAGAAAAACATTTCAGAAAGGTCAGGAGTGTGGTATTTTGGAAATCAGCCTTAGGAGAATGCTTTGAGAAAGATTACCCAAGAGCCTCAGTGTTAAGTATCACAGATGAAGACTGAAGTATCCACTGGATTTTTCATTTAGGAGGTCTTTTGTTTTATTAATAGTAAATTTAATAGATTTCAGCCAGATTGCAGTATATTGAGGTCTGGGTGGGAAATAGTCTGGAGACAGTATGAATAGCTTACTCTTCTTAAAAGCTTGTCTGAAGATATATGGCATTAACTAGAGGGAGGATGTAATGTTAAGGAGTCTTGTAAGAGGTATAGAGATAAGAGAATATGTGAAGAGGGAGTGGGGATTATGGAGAGGGAGAAATTGAAGAAACTGGAAAGATGGGATAATTGCTGGAGATGCTCCTCTCAGATCATTTATCACACTATGGGAATTACTTACATCCTCTTCTGTCTCTATCACCAGATTGTGAGTTCCTTGGAATCAGAATCCCTATCTGATACAGAGTGGATGCATAGTAGACATTCAATAAAGATTTGTTAAATGAATATATTTTAATGAAGGTCATAGGCCTGTAATAGTGCCTTTTGAGTTGTATGCGAGAGAAATACAACTCAAACTAGTTCAAGGAAAAAAAGGAAACGTATCAGTTCATACAACTAGGAAACTCAGAGTTGTGAGGAAATGTTCTCCGAAGGAACCACGAGAAGGAAGAGGGAAATCATTCTGGGCAAGAAAAAAACTATAGTACAGTTGAACCTTGAACAACATGGGTTTGAACTGTGTGGGTCCACTTATATTCAGATTTTTTTTTGATAGTACTACATGATCTGAGATTGGTTGAATATGAGGATGTGGAACCACAAATATGGAGGGCGGATTACAAATTATATGTGGGTTTTCAACTGAGTGGAGGGTCGGTGCCCTTAATCCCCGTGTTGTTCATGGGCCAACTGTAGTTGTAGTCATTGCAGGATCCCAAAACACAGGTGAATGTGTTAACCATGAACAGGATGGGAGCTGGATCCTGGTGTGATATTGTAGAGGAAGAGGTAAGAATGGGTGTGGCTGCAGATATTTTTGTAGGAATTCTGTGTTGTGGAAAGTGTTCTGGGAATTCTGTGAAGGCCTAACATCTGTGTCTTTTTGACCGAGAGTTTATTATAGCATTTATAACCTGCTTTGCCCAGAGAGCAAGGCCGAGACAGAGATGACAAATAATTAATGGCATATTCTCTGGAATCAGCCCTAAACAACTGACGGGAGCTGATAGATAAATACTCTTCACACTTTGACTGTGATGACTCTGAGACACATGGCTCTACCCTAGCTCCCAGAGTTTCCTGGTGGGGTTGCTTGTGTCTACCTTCCCTTTCTGTTTCATCTTTTCAAAAAAGTACTTGCACTCAAATTTTTGTTTCATGGTCTACTTCTGGGAGGCCTGAAATTAAAACATGAAGTGGAAGAGAAAGAGATGAGGTTTGAAGAGAGCTGAAGATTTGGAGTAGCCATTGAGGAAAATGGGAGAAACAACAGAAGGGAATTGGAGATGGAGCTGACCATGGATGGGGTTGCTGAGTAGAGTTGGGGGGTGTAACCTGGAATGCATACCAAATATTTGCAATGGCGTAACTGCTTAATTTTTTTTTCCTTTTAGCAATGCCTAAATTTGAGCTGAAAGAGCAGAGAAAAGAAACTGTTTTGAGTCACAATTAGGATTATAAAACATGTCTGGTAGAAGGAGAAGGGGTCCAAGGAATCCTAGCAAGATAATGGTTGAGGTGATGAATCATGGGATCTGGGATGAAGAGGGAAGGAAATGAAACCAAGTCTCTGAGAACATGAGTAAAGGAAGTAGAGATCATAGGGGTCAAGGAGTAAATATAAGAATAAGGAAGTAAGCCAGTTGAAAGAATTAGGAGTAATATTCAGAAAATGAAATAATGGAATTGAAAATATCAGTGGTAGAGCTGTTCTGACTAATGAATGACAAGAGTCCAGATTTGGCCTTGGAAGTGAATAGCCAAATTTACATACAGTTTGTGACTTGCAAAGGAGAGAGACTGTGTCTTTCCCAGCATCCATATCAATCACCCAAAAAAAGTGTGATTGGGGCCACTGCAGTCATTAGGTCAACTGCAGAGCATACCAGTAATTAAAAAATATATATATATGTATACCTACAAATTTATTAAGATGTAATTGACATACCACGTAATTTACTCATTTAAAATATATAGTTCACTTGTTTCCATATATTCACAGTGTTGTACAACCATCACCACAATCAATTTTAGAACATTTTCATCACCCTCAAAGAAACCTGTACCCTTTAGCAGTCACCCCCCCCACACACACCCCTGTTAACCCTAGACAACCACTAATCTGTTCTATGTCTCTAAATTTGCCTATTCAGGACATTTTATATAAATGGAATCATATAATATGTGGGCCTTTTTGACTAGCTTCTTTCACTTAGCATAATGATTTCAAGGATCATCCGTGTTGTCTCAGTATCTTCATTCCTCTTTTTTGTGGAATGATTCCATTGAATGGATATATCATATTTTATTTATCCATTCAAGAGTTGATGGACATTTGGGTCTCCACTGTTTGGCTATTATGAATAGCGCTGCTATGAATATCCATGTATAAGTTTTGGGGTAGACATATGTTTTCATTTCTTTTGGGTATATACCCAGGAGTGGAATTGCTGAATCTATGGTAAATTTATGTTTAACCTTTTGAGGAACTGCTAGACTGTTTACCAAAGCAGCTGTACCATTTTACATTCCCACAGCAATGTATAAGGGTTCCAATTTCTCCAAATCTTTGGTCAGAATGTTAGACTATTTTTGATTATAGCCATCCTAGTGGTTGTGAAGTGGTATCTAATTGTGGCTTTAGTTTGTACTTCCCTAAGAACTAATGATATTGAGCATCTTTTCATATACTTATTGACCATTTGTATATGTTCTTTGGAGAAATGTCTATTTAAATCCTTTGCATGCTTTTTAATTGGGTTGTCTTTTACTGTTGAGTTTTAGGAGTTCCTTATGTATTCTGAACACAAGCCCCTTATTGGATATATCTGATTTGCAGATATTTTCTTTCAGTCTGTGAGTTGTCTTTTTACATTCTTAATGATACCTTTTGAAGCTCAGAAATTTTCAGTTTTAAGTCCAATTTATTGAATTTGCTTTTATTGCTTGTGGTTTTGGTATTGTAAACACTTCAGTTTTTGTTTGCTTGTTTATTTTCTTCAGGAATTACTGAAGGAGCTAGCTTGCATAGCCTGGAGAAGATAAAAACCCAGTTGTAGTTATCAGTAGGTGCTTTGTCTGGGAAGGGAGGGATTATGATAGGAAATATTAAAGTATGAAAAAGAAGTACAGAAGGAATTAAGAAAAGTACATAAAAAGTTTCTGTGCCTAGAATTGAAAATCACCATGCCCCATCAAAAATCCTCTTTGGCTTGTTATTGATGATGAATGGCTTATTGATATCTGTACAGTCACACTAACCTTCTTATGGTTTCTATTAATGTATAACATGATCAATAAAAGTTTGCTGTTACTCCAAGACAACTCAGTGATAACCTTTGTACTATGATATTTTACTAACAAATTGAGTCATGAATTATTTCATTGAACCAAATTGCCAGTTGAATTTCTGTCAAGAGGAAGACTAATTGATTCACAATAGATCTTAGTTGTTTTTTTTTAGTGTGCTTCTCTATATTTTTTTCCTCCTTTCATTCTATATCTTTGAAAACTTTAAATATTAATTCAAGCATTATGTCAAAGTCTATGTACAATTTTATTTAAATCCTTAAAACCAAGACAAGAAATTGTTTAAAGGCTATTGTAAAGAATTTTATAGGAAAATGATTGTCTATTGTTTCCTTTTAGTTGTAAATAAATATGTTTTTTTTTGTTTTTTTTTGCGGTACGTGGGCCTCTCACCGCTGCAGCCTCTCCCGCTGCGGAGCACAGGCTCCGGACGCTCAGGCCCAGCGGCCACGGCCCACGGGCCCAGGCGCTCCGCGGCACGCGGGATCCTCCTGGACCGGGGCACGAACCCACATCCCCCGCATCGGCAGGCAGACTCCCAACCACTGCGCCACCAGGGAAGCCCGTAAATAAATATTTAAACTTTGTATTTTGATAAATTTTAACATGTGTATATACCCAGCATTGTGTAAACATCAGCACAATCAGTATAGTGAGCATAGCCTCGTGTCCCTTTGTAATACCTCCCTTCTGTGCCTTCCTGGACCTCCTTTCCCCAAGCAACCACTGATGTGCCTTCTGTTACTGTAGACTAGTTTGTGTTTTTTCAGTATGTGGAATTGTACAGTATACTATCGTATACTCTTTTTTGTGTGTAGTTTATTTCACTCAGCATAAGTATTTTGAGATTTATCCGTGTGGTTGTATGTATGAATAGTTAATTCCTTTTTATCACTAAATAGTATTCCATTGTATGGTTATACCACAACTTCTTTATCCATTCATCTGCTGATGGACATTTCAGTTGTTTACAATTTTTGGTTATTACATATAATGTCACCATGAACATTTGTGTACAAGTCTTTGTATGTACATATATCTCCTTTTATTTTGAGTAAGTACTTAGGAGTAGAATGACTGCATCAAATTTTAGGTATATGTTTAACAATTTATGAAACTGCTAAACTTTCAAAGTGGTTGTACTATTTTATGTGTCCACCAGCAGTATATGAGAGTTATAGTTCCTTTGTATCCTTGTCAAAATATGTTGTGGTCAGTCTTTTAAATTTTAGTCATTCTAGTGGGCATGTAATAATGTCTCCTTACGGTTTTAATTTGCATTTTCCTAATGATTAATGATGTTGAGCAGCTTTTCATGTGCTTATTTGCTATCTGTGTATCTTTTTTGTCTGTTCAAATCTTTTGCTCATTGTTTTATTGGGTGGTTTGCTCTCGTTGAGTTTTGAAAGGTCTATATGTTTTCTGGATATGTTTTTATCAGATATGTGCTTTACAAGTATTTTCTCCATTTGTGGCTTATCTTCACTTCAGAAAACACTACTTTTATTTTAAAGGTATTTAAAAAATGTATTTATTGTATTTATTTTTGGCTGTGTTGGGTCTTTGTTGCTGTGCGCGGGCTTTCTCTAGTTGTGGCGAGTCGGGGCTACTTTTCATTGCGGTGCGTGGGCTTCTCATTGTGGTGGCTTCTCTTGTTGCAGAGCATGGGCTCTAGGTGCCCAGGCTTCAGGAGTTGTGGCTCGCGGGCTCTGGAGAGCAGGCTCAGTAGTTGTGGTGCACGGGCTTCGTTGCTTCGTGGCATGTGGGATCTTCCTGAGCCAGGGATCGAACCCGTGTCCCCTGCATTGGCAGGCGGATTCCTTCCTGTTCACCAGGGAAGCCCCTAATATAGTGTATTTTCATTTTCATTCAGTTCATTCTAAATAGCAGATATTTAAACCAATGTGGCTTTAATTAAAGAGAATAATATTTGGATTTTCTTTTCATATATTTCATGCAAAGGGAAAATCAAATAATTATAAGAAGTTCAAGTTATACTATCTAAGGAACATCTTTCTTTTACATATCTTTATTGCTTATTAGATTTTTTTAAATTTTATTTATTTATTTGTTTTTGGCTGTGTTGGGTCTTCGTTTCTGTGTGTGGGCTTTCTCTAGTTTCAGTGAGCGTGGGCCACTCTTCATTGCAGCGCACGGGCCTCTCACTGTCGCGGCCTCTCGTTGCGGAGCACAAGCTCCATACGCGCAGGCTCAGTAGTTGTGTCTCACGGGCGTAGTTGCTCCGCGGCATGTGGGATCTTCCCAGACCAGGGCTCGAACCCGTGTCCCCTGCAATGGCAGGCAGATTCTCAACCACTGCGCCACCAGGGAAGCCCCTGCTTATTAGATTTTAAAAAGTAATACATATTATTTAAAAAGCAGATACAAAGATATGTATTTAGAGTGTGAAATTTAAATGGTTAATTTTTGAAAGGAAATGTTTGGTTTAAAATAATGAAATTTTTGTTCTTTAGGAATGAAGACTGACCTGAACTTATTATTGGAGTGTCTGAAGTATCAAATGGACAATGCTTTTTCGCAAAAGGAAGCTCTGGTCACTATTCATTCAATTTGCCAACAAAACAGTAAGACATGATAGTGAATTTTTATTTGTGATTCTAGTTGTTTAGTATTGTGATATATGAAATATGCATAGTTCTTTCTCTTCTACTCAGTTATTTTACATATTATGTTACTGGGTTCATGTGATTTATTGTCCTTAAAATAATAATTATAATAAATATTCTTCTTTGTTTTGTCTGCACACTCTACAGGTAATGCAGGTCTTTATTTTCGGGAAATTGGTGGTTTGATGTTTGTAAAAGATCTTGCAAAGTCAAGTGAACATAGTATGGTAAAAGAAGCAGCATTATATACACTAGGAGCTGTTGCAGAACAAAATGGTAAAATAAGAAAACTTTATTTCACTATCCTTTAATCATTGTGTTATACTTTAACAAACTACTAAAAAATAATTTTAGAGTTCAATTCCTTTTTTACATGTCTGGATAGTTTTTTACAGGTATTTTATTTAAATTAATGCATACCAAAGATTTTATTTATCTTATTAACTAATGAGGGAACGAGTAAAATGTTACAACTGTTTCAAAAGTAATGGCAAAAAACAATACTATAGGCATTTGGGAAAGCTGAAATTTAGGAATAGGCACATAACTGGTCAGTGTCTGCAGGTTAAAACTCAATTATGTTCTACCGGTCGAAATGTTTTGCATTTCTGTGGACAAGAGTAACTTGCATTAATATCAGTTTTCTACAATTTACAGAGTTATAAAATAGCCCAAAGACAGTAAAAGACAAATAATCTAGAAGGGTGTGCTAGACAGGACATTCAGTAATTGTTATCATCCATTTCAAAATCTTTCACAATTTTTCTTGCCATTAGTTGGAAACATTTTTTTTACTTTGTCTTTTACTATGCTTTTTTTTTTGCCATATGAATGTTTTTTATTTTTATAAAAATAAAATTCATCATTCTTTCTCTTTTTTGCTTTTGGATTTTGAATCATAAGAAAATTTTCCATACTCCCAGATTACAGGGGAATCCACCCATGTTTTCTTTTGGTACTTGTATGATTTTATTTTTTAGTTATACATGTTTTATTCTTTTTGAATTTTCCTGGGATATGATGTGATGAAGGTTCCAGTTTTATCTTTTTTTTAATATGGCAATCCAGCTATCCCAACACTTCTTATTAAAAGTAGATCTTTTTCACGTTGATTTGAGATGCTACCATTATCACTTAATGAGTCTATTTCTAGTTTTTCTATTCTGTTCATTATCTATATATCCAGGTACTTGAATCAGAATATGAAGATAACTTACAGCCATCTTATATGTGGATAAATATGCTTTCTGTATGGCCAACAAAAACATGTTTCTGTAGCATACCTGAAATGAGGTTAAATCTAAACTATCAGTTTGTCAAATAACTTTATATTCTTATATTTTCAACCGTTAAATATTTCTTCACCACTTGTTGAGAACCAAGCTGTGTGCTAGGCATTGGGGATAAATAAGACATTGCCTTTGCCTTTGAAAGTGTCTAAAAGCTGTTCTAGACACTGGATATATGTGTTCAAATTATTTTTTAAAAATTCTGCTTATTGCATGATTATCACCAAAAAGCCTCTCCTGTCGTGTAGGTATCATTTTTGTCTTTGGGAAAGATATTTTTATATCTAGAAAAGTCTTTAAAAATACCACAAGTATCATTTGTCCTTCTTTTCTAAAGCAGGTTTCTGAATTTTCTTAAATTTTTCTTTGGCTATGTTTTGTTACTTATCATCAATTTTTTGGTCATGTTTTATTTTAAATTTTTGTTCAGTTAGGCTTTTATTGGAAATTCTGTGAGATTGCAAGACATATTTTAGAACCTAGATCAACTACTTCTGATTAAAATATTGCTTCTTTGGTCTGTTAATTGAGTAAGCACATAAGTTTGTCAGAATTTGTTTTATGACTAATAAATGTCAGTGAAATGAGAATTGGTTGAGAATTGTCCATATGGCAATTTTATATTTTGTTCAGCATATTTTAAAACTTGTCTGTGCTAATACATAGAAATTAAAATTATATTTTCATATTTCAGTTTACTGTCAGCAGACTTTGTGCACTTCAGAATTGTTTGAAGACTTAACTTGGTTCTTATCTAACAATGATTCAAACACAAATTTGAAAAGAATGTCTGTCTATGTTATTTTGGTTCTAGTTTCAAATAATAGTAAGTACATTCTCTTATGTTATGGAAATATTTTTAAAATAATAAATTGGAACAGTCATTATTAGTCCTTTTATTCTAGTCTTTATGTCAGTACCTTTTTTAATTTAACTAACTTCTGAGAACTACGGCTTTAAAGAAAAGAGAATTAATAGCGTGCATTTAATTGTTTGATATTTATTAATTTAGTATTTTAAAAAATACTAAAGTGATTTGCATTATTTAATTAACATTGAAAAGAAACAGCTTTAAAAGCAAAAGGGAAGCGTTTAATGAATTAGTTTGGTTGATTTTCCACTGAATTGGCCATTTAATTATCATTGTATTTAAGGTCATTTTATCAGTCAGCAATGGTGTTAAATTTCATGTAGCTCTTGGAGAAAGTTTTACTTTGTTTTTGTTATTGTTGTTTTAGTTTTTATTTTGGAACAATCTTAGATTTACAGAAAAGTTGCAAGGGTAGTGTATAGAGTGTTCCTGTATACCTATTGCCCAGGCTAAGGTTATTTTTTTAACATTGCTTATTTAAATCTTCAAATTGTTAGAAATTTTATATGCATTTTAAATGCTTCTAGATTTTATTTTTTCTATTTTTATGTTTTGAATTAATTTTTTTTCTATTTTGGAGCATATTTTGGTATTGTAACACAGAACCATGCAAAATAAGTGTTTTGCAATTTTTAGAGGAAATTTGATTACTATCATTCTCTAAACCTAAGTAATGTATTTTCCGTAATAATCTTGATTACAGATTTTTACCTACTGTAATTGTGTATTGTACTTTATAATACTTTAAAGTGACTGAAAGTTATTTATTAAAAATACTACTGGGCTTCCCTGGTGGTGCAGTGGTTGAGAGTCCGCCTGCCAATGCAGGGGACACGGGTTCGTGCCCCGGTCCGGGAAGATCCCACATGCCGCGGAGCGGCTGGGCCCTTGAGCCATGGCCGCTGGGCCTGCGCATCCGGAGCCTGTTGCTCGGCAATGGGAGAGGCCACAACAGTGAGAGGCCCGCGTACCGCAAAAAACAAACAAACAAACAAAAAAACTACTTAAAAAAATACTACTTAAATGTTGTTCTCCATTTCTACAAAATTATTTTCTAAACAGAAGTCATATTCGTGTAATATATGGCTGTTTTTTTAAGGGACTGGACAGACGCTTGTGAGAGAAACAGGTTGTATTTCAGTTCTATCACAGTTGTTCAGGTAAGTAAATATACATCTCTTGTTATTAATTATTGATTTCTTAAGACCTTAACACATTTGTATTAATTACTTCCTTTTCTATTTAACCTAATAGGACAGTTCTTTCAAAATATGAGTTGAATTTGTCAGATGAAAATGTTTTCCAGAGTTATCAGTTGTGGTCTTCAGTGTGTAGTACTCTGTGTGTCTGTGTCAACAATCCTCAAAATGGTAATTTTCTCAAATATTTACATATAAAAATAAAGATAAAAACAAATAAAAAACTGATATTTTCCAAGTATATTAAAATATGATTGCCTTTTTCTCCTTTCAGATGAAAATCAAATGCTTTGCTCTTCACTTTTTCCACATGCTAATGACTGGCTAATAAATTGCGCGAAACCTGAGATAATTCGCCCTATTTGCTCATTTATTGGACTCACTCTTGCAAATAACAGTAAGTATTCATTATTCTCTAGGTTATACTTTAAGAAACATATTTTAAAGCATAACAAAAGCCTCTTGAATTAATGAATTCCAGTAAGTTGTGTCATTTTGGAACCATTTATACTATTGTATAAGTTAAAATCTTATACATAGAAAATCTTAAAAATAGATATTGTTAAGAAGCTATGGGAAGATGGTGGTGGCAGCATAGTTTTGAGTCTTCCCATATATCCTCACAAAACAGAACACCTACACAGCAAAACTGTAAAAACCCACAGAGAGTGTTCTCTGACCACATAGAATTAAATTAGAAATTAATAAAAGTAAAACATCTAGAAAAGTCCCTAATATCTAGAAATTAAGCAACACAGTACTAAAAAAACCCACATCAAAATAAAAATACAAACCTATGAATCACAAATCATAAAGGAAATTAGAAATGTTTTTAACTTAATGGTAATGAAAACACAAAATTAAACAGTGGGATGCTGCAAAATCAGTGTTTAGATGGAAATTTATAGCAATAAGGCTTGCATAGGGAAGAAGGAAGGTCTCAAATCAATTATATTAGTTTCCACCTAAGGAACTAGAAATCAGAGCAAGTTAAACTCAAAGTAAGCATAACAAAGGAAATAACAAAGAGAAGATTAGCAATCAATGAAATAGAACAGAGTAATCAATTAAACCAAAAGCTAGTTCTTTGAAAAGATCACTAAAATGGATCCTTTACCCAGACTAACCACGAAATAGAAGGCCCAAATTAGAAGAGATGAGAGATGACATCTCTATATCTTAACAGATATTAATAGGATAACAAAGGAATAGTAGAAACAACCTTATGCCGTTAAATTTGATAACTTAAATGAACTGGACAAATTCTTTGAAAGACACAAACTACAAAAGCTCACTCAAGAAGAAATAGATAACCTGAATATTCCTATATCTAATAGTGAAATTGAATTTGTAGTTTAAAACCTTAACACAGGAAATTCCAGGTCATAAAGGCTTCACTGGGGCTTCCCTGGTGGCACAGTGGTTAAGAATCCGCCTACCAATGCAGGGGACATGGGTTTGAGGCCTGGTCCGGGAGGATCCCACATGCTTCAGAGCAACAAAGCCCATGCGCCACAACTGCTGAAGCCTGTGCTCTAGAGCCCACGAGCCACAACTATAAGCCTGCAACCACAACTATGAGCCCGTATGCCACAACTACTGAAGCCCACGTGCCTAGAACTTGTGCTCCACAACAAGAGAAGCCACCACAGTGAGAAGCCCGTGCACTGCAACGAAGAGTAGCCCCAACTCGTCACAACTAGAGAAAGCCTGCACGCAGCAACGAAGACCAAACGCAGCCAAAAATAAATAAAAGAAAAGAAAAAAGACTTCACTGGTGCATTCTACCAAACATTTAAGGAAAAAAAATTCTACATAAATTATTCTAGGAAATACAAGTAGAAGAAACACTTCCCAACAAACTTTTAAGGGCAGCATTATTTCCACACTAAATCTTGAAAAAGACATTACAAGAAAACTGTAGGCCAATATCCTTTATGATCATAGATGCAAACATCCATAACAAAATATTAACAAATCAATCCGGCAATATATAGAAAGGATAATATATTCTGACCAAGTGGCATTCACTTTAGGCATGCAAGATTGGTTTAACATTAGGAAATTCACCATATACATAGACTAGAAAAGAAAAACTATATGATCTCCAAAGATGCAGGAAAAGCTTTTCACATAATTCAACATACATTCATGACAGAAGATTTTGGTAAGCCAGGAATAGAAGGGAAGTTCCTCAATGTGATGAAGGGCTTCTACAAAGTACTACAGCTAACATACTTAAATGGTGAAAGACTTAATGCTTTCCCCCTAAGATTGTAAAAAAGACAAGGATAGCCACTCTCATAATTTGACTGGACATCCAAGTCAGTGCAGTAAGGCACGAAAATGAAATAAAAGGCATAGAGATTGAAAAGGAAGAAGAAAATATGGTATTTATTCATAGATGACATGATTATCCAAAGAAAGAATCTACAAAAAGCTACAGAGCTAATAAGTGATTTTAGCAAGGTTGCAGGATACAAGGTCATATACAGAAATACTAGCAACACTTGGGAACTTAAAGTAACTGCCATTTACAATAATATAAAAAAAACAAAATACTTAGGGGTACATTTAATGATTTCATCTGCTATATCTATATGCTGAAAACTATAAAACATTGCTGAGATAAAACTTTAAATTAATGGGAGAGATATCATATTCATGGATTGTAAGATTCAATATTGTTATACTGTCACTTCTCAAATTCACCTCTAGATTCTTGGCACTCCCCATCAAAATCTCAACGGGCTTTTCTGCAGAAATTGACAAGCTGATTCTAAAATTTACATGGAAATGCAAAGGGGCTAGGATAGTCAAAATTATTTTGAAAAAGGACAAAATTGTAGGGTTTATATTACCTGATTTCAATACTTACTATACAGTAATCAAGAGTGTAGCATTGGTGTAAGTGTAGACATAGATCAATGGAAAAAGTAGAGAACCTAGAAATAGACATATATATATGATTGATTTTCTACGAATGTTGATTTTCTATAAAGGTGCCACAGTAACTCTGTGTTGGAAAAGGTAGAAACAAATGATGCTGGAAAAAGTACTTATCTATCTGTGAAATATGAAGCTCAACCCTTACCTTACACAGTATACACAAATTAACTTGAAATGATCCCTACACCTTAATGTAAGAACTAAAACTATAAAACATCTAGACAAAAACATAGGAGCAAATCTTTATAATTTGGGAGTAGACAGATTTCTTAGGACACAAAAAGCATGAGCCACTAAAGAAAAGATTATAAATTGGACTGCACTGAAATTAAAATCTTTTACTCTTCAAAAGATCCTGCTAAGGTGAAAAGGCAAGCCATAGAGTGGGAGAAAATATTTGTGAAATGTACATCTGATAAAGAACTTGTACCCAGGAAAACCCCAAGGAGATAGCCCTATACACCAACTAGCATGGTTAAAAGTAGAAAGGCTAGTGATAATAGTGATGAGGATGTGGAACAACTAGAACCTTCTCACACGTTGCTGGTGTGTATCTATATTCAGATGTTTAAAGCAAATAGTCATGTTTCACATGCAAAGGAACGTATCTCTATAATTTCAAAAATTGAAATCTATTTCCATGATGCTTTGACATTTCCTCTTTCTTTAAGTACCAACTTAGATGAGTAATACTGCTGTGTCCTACTTATAGGACCTTATTACTCTCAGCAAACTGACATGAAATAGATTAGAGGTAATTTGAAATATTCAGTGTACAGGTGTAGACTAGGATGTTCTTCTGCTTATAAGCCTGAATTTTCATTACATAGACTATAAATGAAAATTTTTGTGGTAACATAGTGCCCAATTTCATCTAAGAATTTTAAGATACTTCCTTTTTTAAAGATTTTTTTAATGAAAATACTTTGTAGTAAAGAAGCCTATTTTGGAGTCTCCATAATATTGAAAATGTTTGCTTATCCTTAAATAACATTTCCTAACAGTTCTGTTCTGATGTAGAAATTTTTGAACATGATTTTTTTAGATTAAGATTTTTGTGTTTTATTGAACAATACAAAAAGTAATTTTTGTGTTTAAATCATCCTGGCTCAATTTGTGGTACTAGAGTAGACTGGGAAGAAGGTTTGTGACAGAATTATAATCACTAGCCCATATATCCATTTGTTATATGCCCATTGCTGGGACAGGGGCTGTTGAATTCACAGACCTGTGGGGTACTTTGCCATCAGAATCATTTCCTACAGGGGAACAAAAGACTAAATGCTTTTTAAAAATGTATCTGTCATCCAGTCTTTGCTTGGAATAGTTGTTATGACTCTCAACCATATGTTATACTTTTATGCTCCAAGAAGTAAAAGAATTAGGCTTAAATAAGATGGATGAAATATGTGGTTTTTTTGGAACAGTTAATTTTCTCTGCCCTTTGTTGATTCAGATTTGAGGAATGAGTTATGTTGGAATTCAGAAAGTAGTCAGCCTGCTAATTGTAATACCAAGCTAAATGAATGAATCTATTCTTTATAGCTCTTGAAGGACTTGAATTTAATAATGTCATTCTTGCAAAATATACCAGTTCTTGCTAAATGAAACAAGATATCTAACATACAAGAAAGAAGTACTGTACTATACATGTAGTTGTACTATGTCAAAGTGAGTTTCTTATGTAAGTAAATAAAATCAATCTTGTGATTATGTATATGCACAGGTAAAGATTGGATTTTTCATTTTTTCATTTTGGGATTTTTAGTAAGTATTTTAAAAAGTCAAGTTAATGTTATATTTAGTGCAAATTAATTTAATGAAACCATATACTTGTTTGAAGTATAATAGTTCTGCTACTTTATTCCTTAAGCATACGTGCAGAAATACTTTATATCTGTGGGTGGACTGGATATATTGTCTCAAGTTCTTGTGCAGTTGGAATCTGATTCACACAAGACTCTTTCCAGTGCTAAGCTTGCAGTGGTGGTGACAAAGACAGTGGATGCATGTATTGCTGATAATCGTGAGTGAAAACACTTAGTAATTTTTCTGCAATTGCATTTTGCTTCAATTCAGCATGGTGAATGTTAAAATGATAGATTGAACGCTAACATGGATTGGACTTCCAATTTCTCATAAGTGGGAGAGAAACTTAGAAATTATCTAGTCCAACTCCTTATTTTCTCATGGAGGTTATGACTTCCCTAAGAATTCAAATCTAGGTCTTCTGACTTCAGGTTTGATGATAGAATCAAGATAAGAGTCTGTCAGTCCTAAACCCTTGTTTCACTTAAAAAGCTGCATTAAATGAAAAAGTTTACTCCACATGGCCCGTGCCAATGCCCGGCTGTTTGGCATCTGGACAAAAAGGGCCAAGGAAGCTGCAGAACAGGATGTTGAAAAGAAAAAATAAAGTGCTGTTGGCAACTTGTGATAAAAAGAAAAATTTAGATGAGAAATCAAGGGACATTTTGGAGACATAGGGAATGGAAAGCCCAATTTATAGATTTTAAAAAGTGAGATAAAGAATTAAGGTATGCCTCTATCTGATAAGCGTGAGATAGACTTACCCTACTGTAACCAGTGAGTAACAGAACCACACTTGAACTCATGGCTGCTTCTCACATGTACAGATACTGAGGAATGATAGTCTATAAATCTCTGTAACTCTCGACATTCACAAATAACTGAAAAAAATAGATCATTTTTTTAAAAATCAGTTATTTAGGGCCTGCTATGTGCTGGGCTCTATGTGAGCTCTAGAGATACAAAAATTATTAAGATGTAGTCTGCTGAGGAATTCACAACCTTTTTGTTGCTGTCAGTAGTTAGACTCTGAACTCTGTTAAAAAAGAAAAAAAAAACACCACACATACACACGAAGAACAAAACTGTGAGAAGTGTAGCTTAAATTGGTGGACTTCTTGAATTTTTCACATCTCAGTATAGCTTCAGGTATGCTTCACTGCATCATTAACGTCAGTAGAACCGTGGCCAGTTAATAGTGTATTTCAATGACAGGCAGGAATCGATTTCATAGGAAGGGCTTTACTGTCAATCTAGATAAGACGAGGAATGTAATGTGAGAGTAAGTAGCTTTTAGGAAGGTGGTATCATTACTTCATATTCACAACATTATGCAGGACAACTTAGAAGAAAGCATTCTTCAAAAAGCTTGCTTTAGTATAATGTCTTTAGTATGGAAAGAGGAATTAATGAGGGCTATATAAGCCACCATTTTATTACAATGAATTTGTTTATAGTCACACATATATATACATATATATTAGATGTTATATGAGATGTGAATTTTAGATATTATGTAGATACATAATGTCATTCTCCCAGGATAAGATCTGAAAAATAGTATAATGTAATACCTGGAAAATACTATATGTATAGCTATACGTTTTAAGTTTGTACTTGTTCTTTTTTTCCTTTTTTAGCTACTTTTGGGGTAGTACTATCCAAGTACCACATTGTTTCAAAACTTCTGGCATTACTGCTTCATGAAAGTCTGGATTCAGGAGAAAAATTTAGTATCATACTTACTGTTGGTCATTGTACAGAGGATTGTGGTAAGTATTGGATTTATTTTGTGTGTTAGTTAAAACGGTGGAGTGGAAATACACTATTCCTCCCCACCCACCCAGCTTAAAAGTATTGCCTTTCTCCTGATCCCCAAACCAGTCATTTTGCTCCTCATCCTTCTTCAGCCGTGGCATTCAGTCAGTCCCTAAGACCTGTGGCTCTACTTCTGTTTACCCCTCCTTATTCCCTTCTGCTCAATTCCAGTGCTATTTTCCCCGTTTAAGCCCTCAGCCCCTCAACATCTTTCACCAATGTTATTACAATAGATTCCTCCCTGTGTCCTCTTCCTTCTATCTCCATTTTTCAATCCACTCTTCACACTGCTGCACAGATACGATCCTGTTTTTCCTTGTTGAAAACCTTAGAAAGTTCTTTCTTTGTCTACTTATCATTCTCTCCTCTCTCTCTTTTTTCTCTTCCCATTTTCTCCTTCTCTCCACTTTCCTGCCATTCTTCCTCTTTCCACTTTCCTCCTTTCCAACCCTCTTCACTTTTTTTTTAAAATAAATTTATTTATTTTATTTTTGCATTGGGTCTTTATTACTGTACGTGGGGTTTCTCTAGTTGCAGCAAGAGGGGGCTACTCTTCGTTGTGGTGCATGGGCTTCTCATTGCAGTAGCTTCTCTTGTTGTGGTGGCTTCTCTGTTGCGGTGGCTTCTCTGTTGGAGAGCACAGGCTCTAGGCATGCGGGCTTCAGTAGTTGTGGCGCACGGGCTTAGTTGCTCCGTGGCATGTGTGATCTCCCCAGACCAGGGCTTGAACCCATGTCCCATGCATTGGCAGGGGGATTCTTAACCACTGCGCCACCACGGAAGTCCCCCAACCCTTTTCACTTTCCTCTCTCCTTTCTCTCTTCCTCCAATCTCCTCTCTCTCCTCCTCCCACTTTTCCACTTCCCTCTTTTTATTCTCTCTTGCTTCTTCTGCTCTCTCTTCCCTCATTTTCCATTCTCTCCATTCGTTTATTTATCTATACTTTCTCTTCACCTCTGTATAATTTAGGATTCACTATACCTTTAAAATTTTTAATTTAATTTTTATTTTTTTATTGAGGTATAATTGACAACAAGACCTTTTTTTAAACCAAGTGAGGGCAGTTTCTTTACTCTTATGAGGTGTGACACTGCTCTGTGGCTGTGTTTATCACTGTGTTTAAGAGATTATCACTTATGAGACTTAGGTATCTTATATAAGTAGATTATTTTCTAAATTGAAAATACCTTTAAACTTTGTTTTTCTGTATTTTAAAATTTGAACTATGTTCATAATTATCACAAGGAAGAATTATGACCTCATGCATATAGTTTAAGATAAAATAACTATTGGGAATTCCCTGGTGGTCCAGCGGCTAGGACTCTGCACTTCCACTGCCGGGGCCGGGATTCAATCTCTGGTCGGGGAACTAAGATCCTGCAAGCTGCGCAGTGCGGCCAAGAAATAAATAAATAAATAAATAAAGTAACTATCTTCTGCTTTAATCTTTGATGTGTTTTCCAGAGGAAAATCAGTATGACCTTTTTAAAAGCAATGGGCTTCCACTCATGATACAAGTCTTAACTGAATCTCAGAACGAGGAACTAAACAAAGCTGCCACTTTTGTGCTTCACAACTGCAAAAAAATTAGTAAGTTTACTATTACTTTAAAAAAATACCAACCAAACTTTATGCAAGAGAATTATATCTGCTTTGATGAACCAAGCCCCTTTAGCTCCCAAGCTCTTCTTACATTTGAAAAGCAGATTATATAATTTTGACGTGACAACTAGAGTACTACAGCGTGTAAAAAACTTATATGGAAGAGAACAACAGTATAGATAATTCACTTATTTAATGCAGTGTGGACAGATTTAGCTGTAGGACTTAAATTTGAGGGCTACAAGTGACTTATGATTAAATCATAACATAAAGTACCTTAATTTATTTATTTAAAAAATGTTTGAGTGTCTCTTATTTGCCAGGCACTGTGCTACGCATTAGAGATACAGTGATAAGAAACAATAGTCTATGTGTTTACAGAGCTTAGTGTAACTAGAGAAATAGGTAGTAATTGAATAATCCCAAAAATGAATGTGTTATTATAAATTAACGTACAGGTTAAGAATGGATGGAGCACAGATCTTAACCTGTAACAGGGACTGTGACCTAGACTTGGAGCAGAAAAGGCTTTGGGAGGAAGTGATTCTTCATCTGAGATCTGAATGTAGAGAGTTAATTAGGTGAAAAGAAGGGAGTTTGTTATGGTCCAGTGTCTCAGGCATACGCAACAGTGAGGCACAAATGTCCTGTGAGAGGAGGGAGCCTGGTGCATTGAAGGAATTGATGGCTGAAGCATAGAGGAAGTGGCCATGAAAAGGATTTTGGTCTTTTGGGAGAAAACTGCTGCCACAATATGTAAAAAGAGAGTTTAAAAGAATATAGGAAGGAACCACTTTATGGAAACTGTGTTAAAAAAAAACAAAACTAAAACCAGTAGCCATAAACCTGAGGGTTTTTATATGCCTAGCATAACATGTTTTCTTGCTATTTTCTTTTCTCTATAATTCTGAAGAGTAATTTATGACTCTTTGTGTCCTCAGCCTCTGCCAAGCACTTGTTTTCCACTTATTTTCAGTACCACTTAGGCAGTTAAGATGGTTTGGATGTGCAAAATTTAGAGAAGGGGGTATGGGTTATGAGTTTGTCCTTATTTAAAGTGTTAAAATAACATTTCTAGTAATGGATAAACTCCTATTTTTTCCCATATTATAAAGCTGAGAAGTTATCTCTAAGTCTAGGAGAATATTCTTTTGATGAAAATGAAGAACAATTAAAGGACATTAATATGAAAGAGAAGAATCTTGAAGATTACTGGAAGAAAGCGAAGGAAATTCTACACAGAATAGAACAGCTTGAAAGAGAAGGAAATGAGGTTGGCTTCTTTGTTTCAAAGAATGTAGAACTTTTTTCAAATATTTTTTAATAATACAGATTGGAGGGTAAAATATTTTTCTTGCCAAGTTACTTTTTATTTTAATGGTTTTAAATTTAAAATTCATTAGTAATACTTGAGGAATCATCCTTGAATACAGAAAAAAATATTTTTAAAAAGTGGAAATGATGACTGAAAAAATAAGAGACATGGAAGATAGAGCCAAGAGATCTATCATTTGTATAATAAGCGTTCAAGAAGGAGAAAGAATGGAGAAGTAATAATCTCTCTCTCTCTGTATCTGTGTGTATATATATACACACACATACAGTTGACCTTGGACAACAGGTGTTTGAACTGCTTGAATCCACTCATACATGGATTTTTTTCAATGAATATGTACTACAGCACTACACAGTCTCAGGCTCTCAGGTTGGTTGATTCAATGGATGTGGAACTGTGGATATGAAGGGCTGACTGTAAAGTTGTATGTGGATTTTTGACTGCCCCATGTTGTTCAAGGGTCAACTGTATATATACACATGTTTATGTATGTATATATACACATACACACATTTACATATTTTTAAAAATTAATTAATTAATTAATTTTTGGATGCGTTGGGTCTTCGTTGCTGCCCCCAGGGTTTCTTTAGTTGAGGCGAGCGGGGACTACTCTTCGTTGCCGTGTGTGGGCTTCTCATTGCAGTGGCTTCTCTTGTTGCTGAGCACAGGCTCTAGGCGTGCGGGCTTCAGTAGTTGTGGCATGCTGGCTCAATAGTTGTGGCTCGCGGGCTCTAGAGTGCAGGCTCTGTAGTTGTGGCTCACAGGCCCAGTTGCTCCACAGCATGTGGGATCTTCCAGATCAGGGCTCAAAACCATGTCCCCTGCATTGGCAGGCAGATTCTTAACCACTGAGCCACCAAGGAAGCCCCATTTCCATATTTTTACTATGTATGTATGCTTTGTGTCTTTGTATGTGCATGCATTTAAAAAAATAAAAACACAGTATCTAATTTAGTATAGTAATTTTATTCTTTTAAATGACTGAGTAGTATTCAATATCATAGATTACCATATTTGATTTAACTAGTCTTTTATTGATGGACATTTAGAAAATATTTAATCTCTCACCAGTGTAACCAACTCTAGAGTAAGTATCCTGCTACATTTATATCTTTGTAAGAGCTTTATTGAGATATAAATCACATTCCATACAATTGACCCAGTTGAAGTATACATTTCATTGGTTTTTAGTATACTCACAGAATTGTGTGACCATTACCACATTTAATTTTAAAACATTTTTATCACCCCAAAAAAGAAACTCCATACCATTTAGCAGTCACCCTCTGTATTCCCCCATCCATCCTCCCCCAACCCTAGGCAACCACTGATCTATTTTTTGTCTCTCTGTATTTGCCTATTCTGGACTTTTTATATAAATTGAATTATATAATATGTGGTCTTTTGTGACTGATTTCTTTCATTTAGCGCATTTTCAAGGTTCATCCATGTTGTAGTATATATCAGTACTTCTTTCCTTTTTTAAAAAAATAGCTTTATTGAGATGTAATTTATATACCATTTGCCTATTTAAAGTGTACAGTTCAGTAGTTTTTATTCACAGATATGTGCAATAATCACCAAAGTCAACTTTAGAATATTTTTATTCCTTCAAAAAGAAACTCTGTACCCTTTAGCTATTTCCCTGAACACTCCGATCCGCAGCCATAAGCAACCACCAATCTTCTATCTAACTCTACAGGTTTGCTTATTCTGGGTATTTCATAAGAATGGAATCACATAGTATGTGGTCTTTTGTGACTGGCTTCTTTCACTTAGCATGTTTTCAAGGCTCATTCATCTTTCAGCATGTATCAGTATTTCATTGCTTTTTATGGCCAAAGAGTTTTCCATTGTGTGTACTACATTTTACTTATCCATTTATCAGTTGATGGACATACTCTATTTTTTTTAATTTATTTTTAATTTATATATTTTTGGCTACATTGGGTCTTTGTTGCTGTGCATGGGCTTTCTCTAGTTGCGGCGAGCAGGGGCTACTCTTTGTTGCGGTGCGCGGGCTTCTCATTGTGGTGGCTTCTCTTGTTGCGGAGCACAGGCTCTAGACATGGGGGGTTTCATTAGTTGTGGCTTGTGGGCTCTAGAGCACAGGCTCAGTAGTTGTGGTGCATGGGCTTAGTTGCTCCGCGGCATGTGGGATCTTGCTGGACCAGGGATTGAACCCATATCCCCTGCATTGGCAGGTGAATTCTTAACTACTGCGCCACCAGGGAAGTCCCTGGACATACTCTTTTACCTATAGCCTATGTCTTTATAGTTAGCATGGGTTTCAGTATATAGTTTGGTCTTTATTATCCTGTGTATTTCTGCTTTTTAATCGATGTGATCATTCCATTTCCATTTAATGTAATTACTGATATATTTGGGTTTAAGTCTACCATATTGCTATTTGCCTCCTGTTTGTCCCATTTGTTCTTTGTTCCTTTTATTCCTGCTCTCCTGCCACCTTTTATATTATTTTTAAATATTCTATTATATTTCATGTTAGATTATTGGCTAAATATTCTTGGTTTTTTAAGGGATTGCTTTAGGATTTATAATACACATCTTTAACTCATCATGGTCTATATTCAAATAATATCATTCCACTCATGTAATATTGTAAGACCTTTGCAGTAGTGTGCTTACATTTCCATTTGTTCTTTGTGCTATTGCCATACGTTTTACTGCTACATTTGTCATAAACTGCCCAGTAATATTATTTTTGCTTTAAACAGCTATCTTTTTTCTAAAAATATTTTAATGTTTAATAAAATAATATTTACATACAATGGTAATCACACATTTTAAGCATTCAGTTTGACTTAGGATATATTTTCTTTTAATAATTTTTTTTTTTTTTTGCCATACGCGGGCCTCTCACCGCTGTGGCCTCTCCCGTTGTGGAACACAGGCTCTGGACGCGCAGGCCCAGTGGCCATGGCTCACGGGCCCAGCCACTGCGCGGCATGTGGGATCCTCCTGTACCGGGGCACGAACCCGCGTCACCTGCATCGGCAGGCGGACTCTCAACTGCTGCGCCACCAGGGAAGCCCTATAATAATTTTTTTTATTCCACAAGAGATAATCTTTTAAGTTTTATTTATTTATTTTGAATTTTAGAATTTTATTTATTTTTTTATACAGCAGGTTCTTATTAGTTATCCATTTTATACATATTAGTGTGTATATATCAATCCCAATCTCCCAATTAATCCCACCACCACCGCCCCCTCCCCCCCCACCACTTTCCCACCTTGGTGTCCATACGTTTGTTCTCTACAACTGTGTCTCTATTTCTGCCCTGCAAACCGGTTCATCTGTACCATTTTTCTAGGTTCCACATATATGCATTAATATATGATATTTGTTTTTCTCTTTCTGACTTACTTCACTCTGTATGACAGTCTCTGGGTCCATCCACGTCTCTACAAATGACCCAATTTCGTTCCTTTTTATGGCTGAGTAATATTCCATTGTATATATGTACCACATCTTCTTTATCCATTTGTCTGTTGATGGGCATTTAGGTTGCTTCCATGACCTGGCTATTGTAAATAGTGCTGCAATGAACACTGGGGTGCATGTGTCTTTTTGAATTATGGTTTTCTCTGGGTATATGCCCAGTAGTGGGATTGCTGGGTCATATGGTAATTCTATTTTTAGTTTTTTAAGGAACCTCCATACTGTTCTCCATAGTGGCTGTATCAATTTACATTCCCACCAACAGTGCAAGAGGATTTCCTTTTCACCACACCCTCTCCAGCATTTGTTGTTTGTAGATTTTCTGAGGATGCCCATTCTAACTGGTGTGAGGTGATACTTCATTGCAGTTTTGATTTGCATTTCTCTAATAATTAGTGATGTTGAGTAGCTTTTCATGTGCTTCTTGGCCATCTGTATGTCTTTGGAGAAATGTCTATTTAGGTCTTCTGCCCATTTTTGGATTGGGTTGTTTGGTTTTTTAATACTGAGCTGCATGAGCTGCTTATATATTTTGGAGATTAATCCTTTGTTCGTTGATTCGTTTGCAAATATTTTCTCCCATTCTGAGGGTTGTCTTTTCATCTTGTTTGTAGTTTCCTTTGCTTTGCAAAAGCTTTTAAGTTTCATTGGGTCCCATTTGTTTATTTTTGTTTTTACTTCCGTTACTCTAGGAGATGGATCAAAAAAGATATTGCTGTGATTTATGTCAAAGAGTGTTCTTCCTATGTTTTCCTCTAAGAGTTTTATAGTGTCCAGTCTTACATTTAGGTCTTTAATCCATTTTGAGTTTATTTTTGTGTATGGTGTTAGGGAGTGTTCTAATTTCATTCTTTTACATGTAGCTGTCCAGTTTTCCCAGCACCACTTATTGAATTGAAGAGACTGTCTTTTCCCCATTGTATATCCTTGCCTCCTTTGTCATAGAGTAGTTGACCATAGGTGTGTGGGTTTATCTCTGGCTTTCTATCCTGTTCCATTGATATATATTTCTGTTTTTGTGTCAGTACCATATTGTGTTGATTACTGTAGCTTTGTAGTATAGTCTGAAGTCAGGGAGTCTGATTCCTCCAGCTCCATTTTTTTCCCTCAAGACTGCTTTGGCTATTTGGGGTCTTTTGTGTCTCCATACAAATTTTAAGATTTTTTGTTCTAGTTCTGTAAAAAATGCCATTGGTAATTTGATAGGGATTGCATTGAATCTGTAGATTGCTTTGGGTAGTATAGTCATTTTCACAGTATTGATTCTTTCAATCCAAGAACATGGTATATCTCTCCATCTGTTTGTATCATCTTTTTTTTTTTTTTTGTATCATCTTTAATTTCTCTCATCACTGTCTTATAGTTTTCTGCATACAGGTCTTTTGTCTTCCTAGGTAGGTTTATACCTAGATATTTTATTCTTTTTGTTGCAGTGGTAAATGGAAGTGTTTCCTTAATTTCTCTTTCAG